GCTCAGTGGCTAGTCTAGCTGATGGAGCCAACACGAGGTTCACTGAGAAACTGTCTCAAAACAGAAGTGGAAGGTGATAGAGGGAGACACCAGAAGTCCATCTCTGGCCTCTGTGTACACACACGCAGGACGTTTAGCCTTCTACACACACACACACACACACACACACACACACACACACACACACACACACACACGAGAACAATGAAGGTGATAGAGGGAGACACCAGAAGTCCATCTCTGGCCTCTGTGTACACACACGCAGGACGTTTAGCCTTCTACACACACACACACACACACACACACACACACACACACACACACACACACGAGAACATAGGTTGAGCACACAGAGCCTCCAGTCTGGCTGTCGGGCCCCACTTGCCATCTGTCGTATTTCCAGATCCAAGAATGACTGAGCAGATTTCACTTCCACCGCAGGCTGTGGCTTAGAGCCTTCCCAGGCCTTAGCAGGACCCTTCCCTCTCCAAGTCATTGCCTGAGGGGTGTGCACAGCTGCTACCCCAGATGACTGACAGTGCCTTTCGCCTGCATTTACTATGAAGCGGGGGATGTTAAGACACTCAGCCCAGCACCACCCGTAGAGAAGAAACACAAAAGTCAAGAGAAGACCTCACACTGGGTTTACTGGCAACTGTGGAAAATCAGGAAGCAAGCAAGCAAGCATTTGGCGACACCTGCTTAGAAGTGTGAATTCGGTGGAAAACTTCAATTCTACTCACTATGGTCTGGGGCCACGCCCACATCCCTGTGGGGATCTCATGTCCTGTGACTCCCATCATGAGCTCAATCTTTAGTGACCCCCTTTGACGTGTTCTGAGCTCCAACCATAGAAGAACATGATAATACTACTCGATTTCTCAGACAGTTCTGCTGGCCCTTCAAGACATCAGCCACTCTCAAAAATGTTCTGTGGGGGTAGGGATATGGCTCAGTCAGGAAGGTGCTTTCCTTGAAAGCAGGAGGACCTGAGTTTGAGTTCCAGAACCTTTTTCTTCTAATGTTAAGGGATGTTGGGCTGTACTTGTAATCCCAGCTCTGGGAAGGTGAAGTTTGCTGCTCAGCCAGCCTAGACTACTTAGCGAGCTCCAGGCCAGTGAGAACTGCTGTCTCAAATATTTGAAGGGTGGGTAATGCCCAAGGAATGACAGCTAGGATTATTCTTTGGCTTCTGCATGTGTGTGTGCGTGCACGCACACACACCCACCCCCACCCCCACACCCATAAACATACACTCTGAATTAGTCTGACTGGCAGTACCTGAGAACTTAGAAACACAAACTCGAATTCTCAGGTTCCACCTGAGAAGAACTATGCCAGACTTCAACAGTGTCTAAGAATCAATATATTCCAATGGCCATCAAATTCTGTCCATGGGCCAGATCAGATGACTTCCCATTGCCATATGGCTCACAGGTAGGGATGAATGGGTCTTTTTACTTTCAGATGGTCAGAAGAAAAGGCAGAATTTTGTGACATTTGAGAACTCTCTGGGATTCCAATGTCACGTCCATCAATAAAGTTTTATTGGGACACAGCCCTGCTCACGACTCCCTGTATTTCTATAGATGTTTTCCTCAAGCCACAACAGGATGACGTGGTTTTGACAGAGACTGCAGCTCACAGAAGGGTATTTTACAGGACTCATCTGCCATCAGGTCTGCAGCTGAGACATCACACTCTCATCTCACTTCATGTCCCAAAAGTTCCCAATATTTGTTCCCAGAAAAATCACAGCGGGTCCTCACTCTTTGTCCTTCCCAGATGCCTGGGGGCTGTGGGACATTTCACATGGTTCCACCTGCTCCCCCTCCTTGGCCATGTGGAAGGCAGGACCCTCTCTCTCCCCAGGCCTTTGTTGATCTCTCCTGCCTGCCCCAATGGCTGCTCTTCTGAACTGATTCCAGCCTGACCCTTGGAACCTGCCCTGCTCTGAATGTAGCTGGACTCCATCCTGCTTTGTGTTTGAGGATTGCCCATCCAGATACCCAGAGCTGTCCATCCTTGTGAACCCTAGCAGCAACCCAAGGGAGCCTTTGGCACAGAAATACCCCTCAGTGAATTGCTTACTGAGGAGATGCCTGGATTAATGAGTCATGCTTCCTATTCCTGGATGATCTTCATGAGCCTGCATGGTGCAGAGCCCAATAGAATGATTAATTGATGGATTGATTTTCCTTCATGACATCCCAAATGGCTTCTCCCTCTCATTCACTTTTATTCCCTAGAACAGTGTTAAGCACCAAGGCTGGGCTTGCTTCTAGAGTTGCAGAGATGCACAAAGATGAAAGCCATCCTTGTGTCTTCTTTCTAATCAAGAAGAGCCAGAGTCTGAGCTGCGATAGCCTGGATTTGATTTCTCTTTGCCCATGTCCACATGTACAGCCTCCCTGGGTCCACAGTGGTACACACTGACCCATCTTACTACAGCTCCAGCCCTCTGCCGGAGCTCAGACCAACCTCTGGGACTCCTCAGGTTCTGCCTAAGGCCAGGTTCCTGGGGCTTTGGCTGTGGTGTGAAGGGCAGTAAGTTCTTACCATGAGAGCGATGTTGGGTGTCAGCCAGTGATTTCTGTGACCCAACTGTGCTGTTTCATGGCAGCTCCCAGGGCACTGGCCATGGAGGGGACAGCTCAGGTTGACAGCCGGGCCTTGACTCGTAAAATAGAGAAACAGTGTAGAAGCACGAACAGCATGCAGACAGTGTAGCAATGGGACAAGCCACGGTGGAGATGGCTTATATTAGGTAGGGGTTTGTACAGTGGTTTAGGGTACAAGAGGAGTTCAGGCATTTCACAATGAAAGGACAACTGGGCGGGGCTTCCCAGCCATCCCAGGAGCAGAGTGGCTAGGACAGGAAAGTTGGGGCTACTGAGGACTTGGTACAGATGGACGATGAGAAGGTGGGATGGGAAAGGGTAGTATTTATGTGTGTTAGGAGTTTGTCTTCTGGCTGGGTGGAAGTGGCGCACGCCTTTGATCCCAGCACTCCAGAGGCAGAGGCAGAGGCAGGTGGATCTCTGAGTTCGAGGCCATCTTGGTCTACAAAAGGATTTCCAGGACAGCTAAGGCTGTTATACAGAGAAACCCTATCTCAAAAAACCAACCAACCAACCAACCAACCAACCAACCAACCAACCAACCAACCAACTAAACAGAAAAGTTTGTCTTCTATGGAAATGCAGACCATGGCAGGAGTTGGAGAAGATGCCACAGGAGAGTGTGCATTTCAGGGGAAACAGTGAGGCAGAGGCAACAAATTATCTGCTGGGTCACACTCTCAGTCCTGCCTCTCCTTGGAGAGGCACACGCGCACACATACATACACACACACACACACACACACACACAGACATCCCACTGAGAGCTGAGTGTTCCAAGGTCTTTCATTCTCTGTGTGATGCCTGGCTTTGAGTCTCTCTATTTCTTCCCATCTGCTATAGAAGGAAGTTTCACTGATAATTGCTGAGCAGGGCACTCATCTATGAGTACAGCAGAATATTGTTAGGAGTCATTTTATCACTACATTTCTTTTTCTTATCTTAGACAAGTATTATTTGGTTTTCTCCTAGGCTATCCAGTCTCAGGTTCTTGGATATTCAAGCAGTGTCAGGGATGGATTCCTTCCCATGGAGTGGGCCTTAGGTCAAACCAGTTATTGGTTGGTTACTCCACAAGCTTTGTGCCACTACTGCCCTAGCATATCTTACAGGTAGTATACCATTGTGGATGGAGGATTTGTGGCTGGCTTGGTGTTTATGTTTCTCTTTTGATAGCATGGAGAGTACCTCCCCAAGCCAAAGAAGATGGAATCTAGGGATAAAGGCTCTATGTAGGCACCACCTCAACATCCCCATGTTCAATGAGTTGTGTAGATGTTGTCTTCAGCAATGGGACCTTGCCATTGGTTTGTGGAGCACAACCTATAGTCTTGGCAACAGCCTGGGTTGTCTGGGGATTCTCATGGGGCCCCTTTGACAAAACTCAATTAGATGTAACTTAATCCCACTATTGGAAGCTTTGTTTGGTGGCAAAAGATGACCAGTTGGGACACTGTCTCCTCATTATTTGGCGATTTTATTTAGATCATCTTCATATATGTATATATTTTAGGTTTCCATACCAACCCTCAAATGACCCTTACTTTTAGCTGTTCTCCTTATGTTCCCTCCCACAACCTTTCTCTCCTCCTTCTTCTCATTTGATAATCCCATTCCAGCTGCCCTATTCATCCATATATACATAAATGTATATATTTATATATGTATTCTATACCTTTCCTAATGACATCTGTCATTAAGATGCACCTCCATTCCCTTACTCTATACCTAACAACTGTGGTTCTGTGAATTGTAGCTTGATTATCATTGCATTAATAACTAATATTCACATATAAGCAAACACACACCATATATGTTTTTCTGTGTCTGGGATACCTCAGTTGAGGTGATTTTTTTTCTAGTTCCATCCACTTGCCTGCAAATTCCATGATCATTTTTTTTATTTTTTTATTTTTTTATCATTTTTTATTTTAATTTTAAATAGCTTGTTTTACATGTCAATCCCAGTTCCCTCTCCCTCCCCTCCTCCCGCACTCCCCCTTCCCCTCCTCCCTCCCACCCTATTGCCAAATCCATGATCATTTTTTAAAAAGACAAGTATTTTCCATTGTGGAAATGTATCTCATTTCTTCACCCATTCTTCTGTTGAGGGACATCTAGGTTGCTTCCGATTTCTGACTATTAGAAATGAACATGGTTGAGCCAGTGTCCCTGAGGTAGGATGAAGCATCCTTTAGGTTTATGCCCAAGAGTGATGCAGCAGGATCTTGAGACAGATCAATTCCCATCTTCCTGAGGAACTGCCACACTGATTTCCATAGTGTCTGTAGGAGTTTGCAGTCCCACTAGCAACAGAGTATTTGTCTTACCCAACACCCTCTAGATGAGTTGCCACTTGCTTAGTTGATCTTAGTCTGAATGGTGTTCTCTACATTGGCACGAGATGCCAGGAGTATCAGTGAGGGTGGTAATGGCAACCATGAAGACAATGAAGGTGGTGAAGACGGTGATGGTGGTGATGGTGAAGACGATGATTGTGGTGGCAATAATGGTAACAGTGATGATGAGGGTGATGATGATGAGGAGGAGGAGGAGGAGGAGGAGGGGGATGGCAAAGGTGTGGCAATGGTGATGGTGGTGATGACTGCAGATGGTGAAGATGGAACTGAGGTAATTATGTTCAAGGGCCTAGCAAAGGAGTACTACCTGCCTTTTGCAAGGTGGTTTGAGCTTGTTCTCCTATGGCTCCTTTCTTGTCTTGTGTCTCTGTTGACCATACAGCTTACTATCTCCTGTTTCCTACACTGAGACAGTAGTACACTCGTGATTCTCAGTTGTATTTTATGCTTTGTTATGAATGGGACAACCTGGGCGAAGTTGGCCTCAAGAGTCCAGAGCATCATGTGTACTCTGGGCATGCTCAACACTTCAGCCTGGTTTAAATTTGGACCCCAAATACTCAAAAATAAAATTGACTGGGAATAGACACAAAAAGACAAACATGGTATGTACTCACTCACATATGGATTTTAGGCATGCATCAGGGGAGTGTCAGCCTACAATCCCAGTGCCAACGAGTCTGGGAAACAGGGAGGTTCCCAAGAGAGATGCATGATACCCCAGAGAAGTGGAATGAGGCAAGACCTCCTGAGAAAATTAGGAACATCAGGGGAGGGGAGAGGGAGCCAGGAAATAGAGAGGAGCATAAGAGGACATGAGAAGAAGGTATGGGGGAGCAGGAAGGTTGAGTCGAGGTAAGAATAGAGGAAAGCAGGATGAGAGATTGAGGCTTGAAGAGAGAGCTGACACTAGTGAGATTTCCAGAGATCTCCAAGGATAACACCAACTGGCAAACTAAACAATAGTGGAGAGACTACATTAATTACCCCTCCTTGATGGTAAGGTTGATGACTATTTTATATGCCATCCTGGAACCATCATCCAGTGACTGATGGAAGCAGAGACAGATACCCACAGCTAAACGTTGAACTGCACTCCTGGAACCTAGTGATAGAGATGGAGGAGTGATGAGCAAAGGGGTCAAGACCATGATGGTGAAACCCACAAAGACAGCTGACCGGATAAGGGGGAGCTCTTGAATCTCAGATGGATGCCTGAGAGGCCAACAGGGGACAGATACAGACTCAATGAATGTAGTGCTGGGGAGGAGGCCACAGAAATCACTGGGGCCTTGGGTAGTAGTTTATCATGGTTTATGAATAATGTTTGAGAGCCCATTCCAAATAGAGGGATGCTCTCTCAGCCTGGACACATGGGGAAGGGCCTAGGTCCTGCCCTGGATGAAATGACAGACTTTGGAGATCCCCCAAGGAGGACCTCACCCTCCCTGGGGAATAATGTGGGGATTGGGTGGGGGGGCTGGGGGGCTGGTGGAGGGACAAGGGAGGAGGGGTGGGAGAGGGAGCTGGGATTGACATGTGAAGCATTCATGTTTCTAATTTAAATTTAAAAATTAAAAAAAATTGACTGGGGAATGCAGAAGGCCAGTGTATCTTACATTCTGGGCTGTTAATACCAAATTCATGAGGGGACTGTCCAGTGAATGGATAAAGGTAATCATTGCTGGAGATTTGTGTCTGTGAGAGCATAGAAGCCATGGCTCACAGGTCACTGTCTTATGTTTGGGGACACGTGTGTCACACTTGGAGGAAGAATAAGAATTCCCAGGCTCCTTCCACTTGTCAGGCCCATGGTCTGAGCAACTTCACTGACTGGGTGGTGTTGTTTGGTGAGCATTCCAGGCCTTCTGCCTTGGTGGATGAGGCCAAATAAAGCCACTTCTTGCAGCCCAACACATTGTGTACCTTTTAGTGGAAAATGCGGTTTAGCCAGTAGAAATGGAAACTGTCCTTTCATGTGAATGGAAAAGTGGTAATTAGTCCTTTTCCCTAGTTATTGTTTATACCATTGTCTTAGAAATCTAGGGTATGTGACACAGAAAATGCTGTCATCAGATCTGCAGAGGTATCCTGAAGAAAAATCTAAAAGCCTCCAGGTCTGACTTGACGGCTCTATTTTCAGAGGTGTGTTGAATCTCTTAGAAGTAATCACTTATGCACTGAATATTATTGTCTTACTGGAGCAAGAATGGGTATCTAGAATATTTCATAGAATCTATTTCTAGAGCTGAATATTGTTCATTTATTGGCACAAAAGTGAAAGTCTGGAATATTCTATATAAGGCTTTACAGAGTAAGTTTGAAAAGGAGAATTGAAAACAAATGCCCATCGGCCTGAGGTGAGCCATTAGCTAGGGAAAACTAACATCTTGCAGAGATGACAGATGGGAGAGAGAGGGGTGCGCTCCTCCCATTTGAGCTCGCTCCCGGCACAGGGAAGAATCCTCACAACAATGGGCTGAAATCCTTTCCTAAGACAAGCCCTCTGGGCCCCCTGTCAGAAACCCCACTAATCGCTTCCCAAGCTCCCCACCCTGTAGCTGAAGCCTGCTTCACAACATTTACAGCTAAGTACATTATTAAAAGTCAAACCAAACAACATTTGCCAGTCCCTGGGGGAATGTGGCGAGGAATGAATAATTCTGAAAAGATCCTGGCATCTGTGTGCATTAACCACAAATGGCCATTAAGTCAGAGCAGCACAGGGAGCAGCCTGCAGGCTGCAGAGCTCACACCCATGAGAAGGGCTGGTTCTCCCCCTTTGCAGGAGGAGGCCAAGAACTGGCCCCCACCCACAGTCAGCCCGAGGGCCACCTTCTCTCCCTTTGATCCCTAGAAAGGAACAACCTAATTCCTTCTCAGCAGCTTCTCCAAACACTGCAGTCACTCACAGCCCTGGACTTCTGGGGCTCCTGTAGCTCCCTCCACACCAAGGCCAGGCAGAGCTTGCAGGCAGCAAACAGCCTTAGAGGATGGGCCCTTGCAGCCAGCTCCGTGTGTGGTGGCCTGTAGTATACACTGCCTCTCACCAAAGATGGGAGCATAGTCTCCATGGCAGCTGGCCCTCCCCTCTTCTGTCTTACACTTCACATGCTCTGGGAATGACTAGGATTCTGGATGCTGTGTTGTCAGGGAGATGGTCATATGAGCTTTTGGTATCCTTATATAGTTGTGACATTGACTAATTACCTAGTCCCCTGAACCTAGCTTTCTTATTTGTCAAACAGGACCAAGTCTCTTCTGCTTGCAAGATGAGAGCTTCAAAGAGGGTCATGAGACCTTGGAAATAAAGATGGTGAAAGAGGGTCTCCTCGAACATCGGATGTCTTTGCTCCATGTTAAATGGAGCAGGAACTCAGCCAATATCCTCATGAAGTGTCTCCTTAGCGCAATGTGTTCTCTCTCTCTCTCTCTCTCTCTCTCTCTCTGGGAGATGGTGGTGGTAAGACTTTCCTGCTGCAGTCAGGCTGTAGGAGTCAGGACCGCTACAGGATGGAGTGCCCTGTAGGTTAAGAAGGAGTACTGTGCAGGGAAGTAGGCCTGTGGGCTGGCCTTCCCAAAGATCCCCTGCCTGGAGAAATACTGGGCCTGTGGGACACAACCCCCGAGCCTGCTCTGGGGATTCTGTTTAGGCTTGCTGCCATCAGGAAAGTCTGAATGTGTATCAATTACTGTTAGCAGGGTTTTATGAACCCCACGTGGGTTGACTTTCAGAGAGGTGTGGTGAGTGAAGTTTCTTGGGATCCTGATTCAGAGGGTCTCCAGACTTGGGCTGTCATGCTCTTGGGCTGCTTGTTTTGGTTTATTTGAATGTGTTTTGTATACACAGTCTGGAGGGACGGTAGACCTGGCCCTTCTACTCATCTGTGGTCCTGGCACTTCCCTGACCAGCTGGGATGGGTTCTTGACCCTTAACCTACTGCCAAGTCCACTCCCCCGCTACTTGGACAGGAATGGCCTGTTTCTGTGTGTGTGTGTGTGTGTGTGTGTGTGTGTGCGCGTGTGCACGCGTGCCTGCACAGGTGGTCTTTGTTTACTGTCATCTTCTACTCCTAGAAGGGGCCTGGGCAAGCACATAGATGAGGGGTTATGTCATCTCTATTCTAAATGGAGGGCCATATTACAGTGGGAGGGTAAGGCTACTGTCCAACCCTGACCAAGTATTCAGTGCACCCAGACCTCCTGCAGGGTACCTGCCCCGCTGGGAACTTAGAAAATGACTGCTCCTGTCTGAGTCTGTGTGCTTCTCTCAGGTGACTGATGGACAGGAGAGCCAGTGACTGGTGTCCACAAAAAGCGCAGTGATTTCATAACAGACACAGGCAGCTCCCTTGAGGATCCCTGGGCTCAAGAGACAGTGACATTAAACAGGAAGCAAGAAATACCATGGTAGGTAAGAAAGACTGCAGAAGACAGAGATAGATGACATGTCTAATTCCTCTGTGTCACTTCCTGTTAACAAGCAAAGCTGCCTCTTCCTTCTGTGCTGGGCCCTGCAAACTTTGTAGCCTGTGCTGCTCTGATCTTGAGAACTCCAATGATTGCAGGCGCTGTGCCTCCTACATCACCCTAACACAATCGTCGGGGTGTCTCCAAGCTTTGGGATGCTTTGAACTCCAGAAACGTAAAATTTATGCCCTGGTGGGGGCAGGAGATGACTCCACTGGTGATGTGCTTACCATGTAAGAATGAAGACCTGAGTTAAATTTCGGGAAACCATTAAAAAAAAAACTGGTCATGATGCAAGTTTGTAATCCCAGCACTGGAGAGGCAGAGGCGGGCAGATCCCCAGTGCTGGCTGATTAGCCAATCTTGTCTACTTGGTGAGCATCAAATTCAGTGAGGGACCCTGTCTCAAAAAACAAAGAGGAATAAAACTAAGGATGCCCCCACACCCACACCCACACCTAAGAATGAACATACTGGAGAATCTCAGTTTCCCCCACGGAGCATTTGTATATAGATTCTCACCCTGGGCACACTGCAACCGCATTTAGCTTGCTCTGCACTTCTCTACTTTATAGATCAGTCAACATTCGGGCTGCCCCAAATGCATGATGGCTTTCTGAACAAGAGTTTACAGACGTCTCTTCAGGACCTTGCTCTCAGTTCTTCTGCAGATGCATTTAGAGGCTGGATAGCCGGACAGCATGAGCAGAGCTCTTTGAGCAACACCCACACTGTGTCACGTCATCTCGCACCTCCTCTACCGCTCACAAAGGGTTGAGTTTCTTCACATTCTCACCAACACTCACTAGTTCCCACTTTTGTTCTGTATCCATCCTGGTCCACCAGGCTAGTAAGACCTGGTGGGGCATTTCATTGCGGCTTTGACTTGAATTCTCTTGCTGACTACTCAAGCTCAGCATCTTTTCCAGGTTTACCTGCTGTCCGTTATCATTGGACAGATGTGGTTTCTCACATGAGTGGAACGAAGCCTTGTCTTCCCAGGCCGATCATCTGCTGGGTGGAAACTAAACAGGACAGAAAGCACTCTGGGAAGTGGCAGTGTGACTGGTGCTGTGGGAAAGAGCTGGGCCAGGAGGTGGTTTTGTGTCTGAAGTAAGGGAAGACTTCTCTGAGGATAGGCTGTGGGGAGGCCTGGGGGCTGCGGGAGAAGACAAACCACCTAGAGAATGTGGGAAGGGCAGAGGTGAGCTCAGATGCAAAGGCCCTGAAGGCAGGAAGGGTTGTCTGTGTCTGAGAACAAGGGGACAAGAGGCAGGAGGGGAGTGAGAACAAGGGACGTTGTTATAGGGAGCAATTCTCCTAAGGAGTCACATAGGGGCAAATTAAATGTCGGGGGCTGGAAGCTAATGCACACTGGTTTGGTCAAAGTGCAGGGAGTTAGTGTCTATGGAGTGCTCAGCCACAAATGGGACATCCAATCACACTCCTTCCCCCTGAGGCTCAGAGACCATCATAGAAGATAGGCAGAAAGAAGGAAAGAGTCAGAGGCCAGAGAGGACCAGGACAAAAGGGCATCTTCTGGATATAACACACTCATGGTGCTCATGAACTCAGCAGCTGTGGTTGCCTGCACGAGATTGGAATAAGACCAAATTGGACATTCGACCCCCCACCCCATCTCTAGCTGAGGAGCTATTCATAGGTGATGGCTTATAGGGAAGGGAGAGTCAGTTTTCTTTTAGGGTGTGTCTTCTGGTAGGTTGACCATCACCCAGGGGAGGGCCCCACCCCCATGAATATATATATGCACAGCACAAACTGGACTCTGTGGGATAGATACAGACACAGACATAGACATAGATACAGACATGAAGTTGGAAATGGGTGGAAGGTAGATCTGGGAGGAGATAGGAAGGAGAGGGGTGAAAGGATGGATACGATCAAAATACGTTGTGCACATACATGAGATTCTCAAAGAACTAATAAAAATACGACATTAAAAGTGTTCTGCATGATGCCTCGCATAGAAAGTGGTTGTTATTAAAGTCTGCCCATGTTATTCTTCCATGAGAAAAAGTCCCAGCTGCCTTACTTTCACCGGACATTAAAAAAAAAGCCCTCTTTCGACTGGGAGTTGGGAGTCGGCCCTGGAAGCCGGTCACTGGTCCTTCTGAGGATGCTGGCCTAGGGTTTGCATTGCCTCTTAGTTATGTGACTACTTCCTGGGATTACTTGTCCTCTTAAGGAATTCTAGGATCCTGGCAACTCTTGCACGAGGAAACATTCCGAGGATGTTAGCAAAGTGTGAGCATGGACTGTGAGATGTCCTGGGATGCCCAGCTATTATTTATATCACAGGCCACACTAGGAACCCCAGGCAGTCAGAGTCTTAAGCAGTGTTCTGGAACTCCTGGAATGATGTAGAGGGGCGGGTATCCCAGGAAACACAGTGCAGTAATGTAGTCACAGCCACAGAGCTGGCTCTTCTGATGAGGAGATTGGGTCTCTCCACAGGGAGGGCCCGGAGGACCCGGGGGCCCGGGATTAGGCGGCCGCGGCGGCTTCCTCGGAGGCTTCGGCAGTGGCCTCAGGGGCCGCGGTCGTGGTCGAGGCCGTGGCCGTGGTCGAGGCCGCGGGGCTCGTGAAGGAAAAGCCGAAGACAAGGAGTGGATCCCCGTCACCAAGCTGGGCCGCCTGGTTAAGGACATGAAGATCAAGTCCCTGGAGGAGATCTACCTGTTCTCCCTGCCCATTAAGGAATCCGAGATTATTGATTTTTTTCTGGGCGCATCTCTAAAGGATGAAGTTCTAAAAATCATGCCAGTACAGAAGCAGACGCGGGCTGGCCAGCGCACCAGGTTCAAGGCTTTTGTCGCTATTGGGGACTACAATGGTCATGTTGGTCTTGGTGTGAAGTGCTCCAAGGAGGTAGCCACAGCCATCCGGGGGGCCATCATCTTGGCCAAGCTTTCCATTGTCCCTGTGCGGAGAGGTTACTGGGGGAACAAGATTGGCAAGCCCCACACTGTCCCATGCAAAGTGACGGGCCGCTGTGGCTCTGTGTTGGTGCGTCTCATCCCTGCCCCCAGAGGCACTGGCATCGTCTCTGCTCCTGTGCCCAAGAAGCTACTGATGATGGCAGGTATTGATGACTGCTACACGTCAGCCAGGGGCTGCACTGCCACCCTGGGCAACTTTGCCAAGGCCACCTTTGATGCCATCTCCAAGACCTACAGCTACCTGACCCCTGACCTCTGGAAAGAGACTGTGTTCACCAAGTCTCCTTATCAGGAATTCACGGACCATCTTGTGAAAGCCCACACCAGAGTCTCTGTTCAGAGGACCCAGGCTCCAGCTGTGGCCACCACATAAGGGTTTTCATACAAGAAAAATAAAGTATATTAAGTCTGTTAAAAAAAATCAAAATAAAAAATCATATAACATACATCCAATATATAGTGGCATAGAATATACATTACCATTCCAAAACACAGGGAAGGAAGCACAGTGAGGAAATACTAGACCAAAGAGAGACCAAAAACCAGCTGGGCAAACTTTAAACTCTTCATCTCCATGTCTGATGTCAAAATTCTCTTCAGCGCTCCAGCTCCTTTCCACTTTGTTGACTGCAACACATTGCTCTCTCTCGGTCTGGTTCCACTCCCTGTTAGTATCTTCGGCAGGTGTCCCATGGCTCTGGCAGCTCCAACATTTTGGGGTCTCTGAGGCAATCCAGGCTTCATCTTCACAGCCCCACTCAATGGCATCTCTAGGCCTCCATTCAGGGACACCCCTGGCCTCAGTGGCTCATAACTCCTTTCTTATATCCTTAAAGCCAGAACCGCATGGCCAAAGCTGCCAAGTTCTGCTGCTTCCTGGGGCTTGGACATGACCTCCTCATCCAATTACATCTTCGCCAGCCTTCTGTTTTTGATCGTTATATTCATTGCCTAAGCTTGGATGTTTAGGAACTTGTTCTATAGACCAAGTACCTTTGGTTGATATTTCCCATGGACACAATATAGCTCTAAATGAAGTCTTTGAATATACAAGGAGACCAGGAATTTAGGGACTAGATTAGGTCAAACAGCATCACTAAGCCCAGGTTCAGTGCTAAACACATGCGCATGCACTTGGCTATTGGTGCTTGTAGGGCCTGGGTGTCAATGTTCATCATACTTGAACAGGACAAACACAAAGAGGTGAGGGATTTTCAGGCAAAGAGAGAAAGACTATATTTCTCTGGTCACCCTGGCTGCTGACTTCTGCCTCACAAACTGGGTTGATGAGAGGAAAACCACTCTCTTCTCATTCTTCCGAAAGGACAGATACTATATTGTTCTGCTCAGTATGGTCCCTAAAATGTCACATTCACAGAGATGGAAAGTAGCATGTAGGGAGAGGTCTGGGGAGGTGTACTGGCTGATCTTGCCTGTCAACTTGACACAAGCTAGAGGCATCAGAGAGGAAGGAGTCTCAGTTAAGGGAAATGACTCCATGGGATCCAACTGTAAGGCATTTTCTCACTTAGTGATCAATGGGGCAAGGCTCAGTCCATTGTGGATGGTGCCATCCCTGGGGTGGTGGTCCTGGATTCTATAAGAAAGCAGGTTGAGCTATTAACATCCCTGAAAGTCCAACTCTCAAGGCTACATCCAGGATTAAAAGAAAATCTCCACAGTGTAGAGAAACTGAACCTAAAGTTTTTCTATCTGAGGGTACTGAATAAAGCCCCATGCGTGCTGTTTGAGCCATGTTCTTTATTCTTCTGTCCTCTATTTCTCTTCTAAGTTCTAATTCTTCCTAGTTCCTTTGTTTCAATTCTCTGTTCCAATTCTCTATTGCTTCTTTTTTCACCTAGCTTAAATACATTTTTTTTACAGGAGGCTTGAGGCAATAAGAAAAAGTTACAAGAATTAAATCTCACATTCCTCGGGTAAATGATAAGAAGCTGAGTCATTTGCCGTGGCAATGTAAGGTTTCAGGGTTCCAGGTGTAAGCCTGTGACCAGCAGCTGGGGGCACAGTGCTCCATTCATGAGACAAGCTACAGAGAGATCTGCATAGAGTCAGGCCTTATCAGCAAGACTAAAGAATTGGCCTGATTTTTCAGGTTGCTTTGTGTTAATTGTAGACATCTGCAACTCTGGCCTTGTGTGTATCAGTAAAGTTTTAGCAAATGTGAAATTACAGGCAGGAGTAATAGTTTCCAGACCCTGCATGGATGGGATTCTCCTCCTCCATCAGAGAATAATATCTCTGGTGGGTTGACATTTGAACACTAGTTGTCACCTGCTGCAACTCCCACAGTCTCTGACACCAAGCAAGTCATTTCCAAGCAAGCCAGTAGGCAGCTTTCCTCCATGACCCCAGCTCCTGCCTCCAGGATCCTGCCCTGTTTGATTTCTTGTCCTGACTCCCTTCAGTGATGAACAGCAATGTGGAAGTGTAAGCCAATAAACCCTTTCCTCCCCAACTTGCTTTTTGGTCATGCTGTTTTGTCACAACAGTAGTAACCCTAAGACAGAGAGGGCACCTAATTGGGGGTGGGGGACAGACTCAACAAAGTGAAGAAGTTCACACCCATGAACTTGTATCTACAAATGACAAAGTAACAAATTTCAGGGCATATGTATCTTCTCTCTCTCTCTCTCTCTCTCTCTCTCTCTCTCACACACACACACACACACACACACACACACACACACTGGAGAAGTAGGGACAGAGATAGATGCTAAAGTCAAGGTCCAGGAAAGACTCTTTCTTATTTGCCTCTAAGGAGAGCATTGCTCCTCATTGTGGGTTTATTCCTCCCCTGAAGTCTGGGGACTGCTCTCTGGGGACAGCTAGGGACAGCTGGGGAGGTCTAAGTTAACCTAGTTTTCAAGTGAGTAAGGATGGCTTCCCTAGAAAGGTGATTAGCAGGCCTGCCTGACAAAGAGTTACTTGGTAACAGCTCCTCTGGGTGGATGCTGGAAGCCTGCTGTCCCTAAGGTTAGGATAGTGCCAGTGTGAGGTGAGGGTCATATACTCGGTGGCCTTTCCTTACTTCGCCTCCATTGGCCCTGTTCTGTTGCTGGACCACAGGGCTTTTCATACTCATAGGGAGGGTGGAATCCTGCTGCTATGACATTTTTGTGATGAATGACACATCAAATCAGAAATCTATGCTGGAGAGTTCTTAGATGTGAAGAGATTGTCTCAGCTTCTCCAGGGCTGGAATAGATAGTTCAAACAACCCCTGGAGGCCCCAACCCCTGGAGTGCAGTCATGGCATCTCTTCCCACACTCCACCAATATCAACAGACTGATAAAATAGAAGAGACACTAATAATCTTCCAGCCCTATTTTTCCTGTGATAACTTCAGATGAGGTTTACTTTTTAAAAAATGGATAGTCTTCATTTTTTAGAACAATTTTATGTTTATAAGGAAATAGAAGTGGAAAAGAGTCTCCTGTGCTCCTCATTATCATCTGGCACACAGACACACACACAGACACACACACAGACACATACACAGACACACACACAGACACACACACAGACACATACACACAGACACATACACACAGACACACATACATACACAGACAGACACACAGACACACACAGACACACACACAGACACACAGACACACACACAGACACACAGACACACACACAGGCACACATACACACACACACACACACACACACACACACACACACACACACACATGACAGAAGGGACTTGGGAGTCAGCTAGTACCTTGATTTGGAAAATTAGCTATTAAGGCCTGAAGTGACTAAAACCAAGCAGCCAGCCTGAGGTGGAGCAGAGGGGCCATTGATCTTGCCTCTGCCCATGTAGCTGCCTGTGTGGGATCCCCTGGGTCTTGATGACTTTATTTTCAGCCAATAGGTAGAGATAGGAGGGAAGCAGAAGGAAGCCACGTGTGCTCTGCTCCACTCATGGGGCCACCAGAACATCTGGCCATGGCTCTGATTCTCTGGGGCATTGGACAGGGTTCGTTCTCTCTTACATTCTGTCACTGTGGAATTAGGGGCTCCTGTTCTGCCTTAAGGAGTAACTACTCTCTTACAAGTATCCAGCTGAACCAACCCAGGTGATAAGGGCCCAGATGATAACGGCCAGCTCGCCTTGCTTCCAGGCCCATCGTTTCCCAGGAGTTCCTAGCTGCTCCCTCTCGTCAGCTTAAAGGTATTCTTGTGCTGCCTGCAGTCTTTTAGAGGCTTTGGGCTCTTCCCTGAGAGAGCTTCAGGTGTCCCAAGGAAGAGTGACATCTCCTCTTCCCACCTCATGTGTCAGTCACCAAGAAGGAGAGAGGCAGCTTCTGGGGCCCAGAGACCAGGATGGCAGTGTAACAGAAAATCCCTTGGAAATTTGAATGCCACCCAGTCTTTGTTCCTTTCTGGGAGTCTCATGCTTATAGCTAACCTGGGACAGCTCTGGGGCCAGATTCTGGGTTCTCTCTCCAACAGCCCCAGCCAGGACAGTGAGTGGCCCCTACCTTTCTCATTCATTGCTAGAATGGTCTGGTATGCATTGTTATGTGCATAATCATAGTTAATATGTTTGGGGCTTTACACTTTTAAAGACTTTTCACAGTCTGCGTTCTATCTGTGTTTCCTAAGAGTCCAATGAGAAGGACTAACTGGGGTGGGAGGGGCTGTCCATCTTCACAGAGGAAGGAAGCAAACAGGCCTTGGGTGATGCTGTAGTTCTGAAGAAATGGTAGAAGCAGACATTATCATCACACGTTCTCGCTCCCACTCAGATCTGGCTTCCTGCAGGGCCGAGACCCACCTTTTCCTCTCCTGATTCACCATACTCCATTCTTAGTCTTCTACAATCCCTACTGTTTCTTGTAAGGTTTGCTTTCCTAAGTTCCTCATCCATTTGACCCCAAACTAGCTCAAAATTGAAAGTCAAAAGTTGAGGAATGAACTTTGGGGGAAGTCCTGAATATTTTTTTTATAGGCTTGGTTTCAGGTCAGATCCATCGGTTTCTGAGATATGAATTAAGATATGCATGCACACATGTGTACACACAGACTCACATTGAGAGAGTGCCAAATCATAGTTAGTACCCAACCTTGTACACGGCACTGATAATCAAGATGGCTGCTAAGTGCCTGAGCAAAGGGGCCACCGACACTCTAGACAGGCATGAAGGGTGATTACATCACTCTGAACACCTTGTGCTTCAAAACCTGTGAATGGTTCATTTCTGAAATTCCCCACTTAATAGTCTTAGATCATGGTTGATGACTGATAACTGAAATCACAGAAGATGATGTATGTGTGTTCGTGTGTGCCTAGGTCTTTATGTGAGTATGTTTCTATGTGTGCCTGTGTGTGCTTTCTTATG